TAGCTGCTGTTGTGGTTATCTCCCGTGTGCTTCGAGTCCAGAGTCCAGACAGACCAACCTCGGCGTGTTTTTTTCTCGATCCCGCGATGAACGCACACGATTCTCACCGCGGCTTGACGTTCCCATAACGCGATGTACTCCCGGGAGCGTTGTGTTCACGTGTGTGGGTGTGCGGGCAGCTGCGTGCGAGCTTGCCGACTGAGTTGATGCCTTCGTGTGTGTGCGATGGCGCTCGTGTCAATTTGTCTCTATCTCAGTCCAAAATACCTCAGGTGAAAATATTTTGACCACGTTTTCGAAAAAATTTGAACTGTAATTCTGACATAAAAAAATGCGGCGTAACATCTCGTGTCAAAATTCTGACGGTTCGTGTCAAAATTCTGGTCTCGTGTCAAAATTTCGTGCTCGTGTCAAAATTCCTGACACACGTGGGACCCATGTACTATGTTTGCAATTTTTGACCAGATGCTGTAGATGATAAAGATCGCACTCCCTCTCCAACTACGTCTGCACGGCGCCGCTGGCCGAGGTGTCACACTCGGTGTCGACACTCTCGAAAAGTAGCAAGTATGATGGAAGCAGCAGTACTACAATCAACAATGCCGATGGATGTGCGAGGGATTGCACTTTGTGTTCGTTCCATGAGCGAGTTACAGCTTGGTAGAAGAGTCCGCATTTCCTTCGCATGGAAGGGGTGTGACGCCCTCGAGGTAACACACGTGCGCGGAGCTGCAGCAGCAAGCCAAGACCGTCAAAATGGTACGCACTCTGCTGCAAAAATCCTCAACACACCGGCACACTCCTACTGCTGTACTTGCCCACTCGTCGTCTCCCGCAAAGCTCTGCAACTCTCTCGATGATACAAGAGCATACATTCGAGCCACAGCTTGGTAAAATAGTATACATTCCCTTCGCATGACAGCTTACAACCCCCCGCCGCCGCCGCCGCCCGCCGTTGTGTGTGCCCCCTGTACTGCTGCATCATTCATNCCCCCCCCCGCCGCCGCCGCCGCCCGCCGTGGTGTGTGCCCCCTGTACTGCTGCATCATTCATAGGTGATGGGTACTTTGAAGGTGTTGGCGTCGGGATGCTGCTTCCAGGACGTCGCTTCCTTCTCTCTGATGAGCCGCACGACCGCAGAGACTTCTTTCCACCATTTCTGCGAGAAGTTTTTCGAGGGCCTCTGGGACACGTGGGTGATCTACCGCAAGTGTGGTTACCCGGGGGCGAGGTGATCTACGGACTGCACCCACTGCTGTTGGCCGGGCTGCCCGTTCTCCGAGAAGAACACCTACACCGGCAAGGAGGGCCACATGTCGCTGGTGGTGGAGTGCCATTCTGGCCGCATCATCGCGGCAACCAAGACTTACCCGGGAGCAGAGAACGACAAGACGGTCATCGCACGGGACAAGTCCATCTGGCGAATACGAGATGAGGAGCCGTGGAAGAGCTATGATACAAGTTCAAGCTCTACAACGCCGACGGCACGGAGACGGAGTACACAGGGGCGTGGATCATCGTGGACGGGGGGTACCCGAAGGCTAGTTTCGGTTGTTGGTTTTTGACCACCTTTTTGTTGTTGGTGTGGATGGGCGTGACTAGCCTGGCCCGTACATTGTTGATATACCCCCGCCCACAGAAGCGTCATGTTTGTAAGTGCGAAAACCTCTGGCGAAACCCCGTCGCGTTCGGTCCTTGCTTTTTCTGTTGCTCCGTTCATGGTGGGGAACCCGTGTGTATTATTCCCCTCCGGGATCAGTTCACACCCGCCAGACAAGAACGTTGCCGAACTCTACTAAGTACGTGTACCCGTACCACTTCGTGTTTTGCATTCCCGTCCATCCTAGCTGTTTGTAATTTTTGGCTTGGGGGGGGTGGGAGCGTAACACACCTTGCCCCTTTGCGCAGTCCTTGGAGACAGATCACGTTGTTTCGACACAAGTTAGCATTAAACCAACACCCGATAGCCATTTTCGGTCTGCCGTATCACAGATCCCGCTTCTGATCCCACCAATCAAGACGCACAACACCGTCAAGGAGCACGATTGGAGCAGGCGGTTGGATAATATGCGCAAGGACATCGAGTGTTGCTTCGGCAGAGTCAAGGGGCGCTGGAGGCTTTTCGGTGGTGACATTTTGTTCTCNTCCTAGCCTCAAGACGGGGCCCGGCAAACCGGACCTTACTGCTAGTACCTGTTGGGAACAACGCATTCTCCCAAAGGTACAACTCCTATCAACCGTAACCATGTAACCGTAACATTGCTTCGGCAGAGTCAAGGGGCGCTGGAGGCTTTTCGGTGGTGACATCTTGTTCTCCGCACGACAGAAGGTTGACAACGCGTGGTTCACCGCGTGCATCCTCCACAACATGCTCCACAGCTTCAACCGCCTCGACGAGATGGAGGAGGACGGCGTTTGGGTGGGGTCGGCAGGGAGGTTGGGGGAGGCGACGGCAATGGCGGCGGCCAGCATGCGCAAGGACATCGAGTGTTGCTAAAACGGATGGAGAGGCTAGGGGTAGGGGCTGGCCCAATGTCTGTGTGGGTCTGTGTGGTCTCTAATCATTCAAGTGACAGGACCCTAGGTGTCAAGAGGAATTGTCCACAGCGGATTGTACATGGGACCCCGGACTACAAGCACTGCTACCGACCTGATGGTAGCTGCCTCTCGATCGGTACCGAGTTCGGTAGATGAGCCGGAACAGCGGTAGAAGTGAGCCTCGAAGGTGGCTTGTGACAAGGAGTGGAAGGTCTCCGGTTGTGGATACGGTATTCGCTTGTTGATTGTTGCTAACTCAGGGCAAGCAAGGAGAAGTAGTCAAGCAGAAGAAGTAGTGAAGCAGGGGGGCTGAGCAATCCAAGCCTCAAGACGGGGCCCGGCAGATCAGACCTTACTGCTAGTACCTGTTGGGAACAACGCATTCTCCCAAAGGTACAACTCCTATCAACCGTAACCATGTAACCGTAACATTGCTTCGGCAGAGTCAAGGGGCGCTGGAGGCTTTTCGGTGGTGACATCTTGTTCTCCGCACGACAGAAGGTTGACAACGCGTGGTTCACCGCGTGCATCCTCCACAACATGCTCCACAGCTTCAACCGCCTCGACGAGATGGAGGAGGACGGCGTTTGGGTGGGGTCGGCAGGGAGGTTGGGGGAGGCGACGGCAGTGGCGGCGGCCATGGACGTGGACGAGGAAAGCGAGACTCCGACTCCGGCTTCGAAGAGTTTCGCCGGAAGCTCATCGCGCACTTCACGTGCGCGTGGGAGAAAAGGAGATTTTGTGGTTTAAGAGGGCGGAGGTTTAGAATATACGTGGTACATGTAGTCGGTAAGGTATGGGGGGGAGGGTTGTTTTTTTTTTTTTTGGCGTGTATGGGCGAACCATATGGTATATCTCTGTGATGTGTGTTTCTCTTTGTCGTGCGTCTGATAGGGTGAGGGCGTGATTGCGTCTGTCACTAGTATCAGCGGCATGTGGCGATCTTCTTTTGGTGTTCTGAAAACATTCTTTGTCTGAGCTCCAGCGGTATCAGGGTAAGGGTAAGCGTTAGCTCCCGCGTGGTGTTTGATTTTGGGTTCGGGACACCCACCACGCCACCTGCGTTCCTCAGCTTCATTTGACGATCATTTTGCTGTCGCGCACAGCAGTCACGTAGTCGGACTTTTTTTTCCAACACAGCAGTTGGTTCTCATGGGGGCAGGCTGCCGCGCGTTACTTTCGTTCTTGTTCTATGTCGAACTACAGCCCGAAATCCGCGAAGGTTCCTGACTTGCTGTTTTTCGTTCAGGCAATCGTTGCGCTGTGTTTTGTTCTCCATGTAGATTTAGGCGCTCTTATTTTCGAACAGCTTTTCGTTCGGCTTTCTGTCCATAATTCTGCCCTTCATGCATTGGGACATTTTGGGTAGTTTTCCGAGGTTTGCTTTTGATCATGCTGATGAAACAGTGGATTGAGAGGGGGAGCGGCGCAGCTCGGATCGTTGTGCTCGCGGCACAAAGATTGAACAAATCGCTTTCAACCAAATGGAGTCTGACACTTAAATTTGATATTGGAACTGCCCGTGGCAACCGGAAGCACAAACATGATGGCGTGGAAAGGGTACACCGTACGGTGCACGACGTCAAAGCTATGTGCTTCACCGTAAATTATGACATCGCTCGAGCGGCCGATATATCGGCCCCACTACATGTGTTTTCGAGAAATATGTTTTTTTCTGCCAATTTCACAGATACAGCGCGAATA